AAAAAATAAGAACCAAGATACATCATGTACAGGTACAAGCACCCAATGATAAATGTAAACGTATTGTACACCTAAAATGTACCAATAAAAGAATTTAAGGAAAAAAAATGTACGTATTACAACCCTGTACGCCATACTGTGCCAAGTCCTGGGAACAAAGGGTGAGGTCAAATCACAGGTGACCCTTCTTAAGTGATGGTGGGGCTTACAACTTAGTGGAAAGATAAATATAAATCAGAAAATGACACAAAGGATACAAATAAAGGAAAATACATGGTTGTAAAGAGTGTTCTAGGAAGGAAAGGTACTGTATTCAGTGTCAGGGGCACAGAAATAGGGGACGCTGACTTAACTGAGAATAAGAGAAAGATTCCTTAAGGACTAGTAGTTTCAGCTTTACTGAAAGCTTGATTTAAAAAAAGCCAGATGTCAGGGCTCTTCCAGACCTATTGAAGAATCTGCATTTTTAACAAGCTTCCTGTGTGATCTGTGATGAGAAGCTCTCACTGTTCTAAAGAGCCATACGGGTTAATTAAGTGGAGGAGGAATCTTCTGGCCCAGATAAGAGATAAAAGCCTTGCAGGCAGACAGAGGTGGGCATGTCTGAGGAACTGAGGGAGGTAACTTTGGCTGGAATGGAGAGCGTTTGTAGAGCACACTGCCAGAGATGCTAGGGTTTGGCATATACTAAATTTGGTCATAAGTAACCAGAAAGGTTAGGAGGGACTCTAGTCCCCTGAACTCTACCAGATAGGCCTTCCAGGCACTAACTGCTTTCAAAACAAACACAACAGTCAGACACTCATCCTTTTGTAGTTGCTGAAGGGCAGATTTCTTTAATTCCAACCAAAGAACCAATGTCTTATAGCACAGGTGGCAATAGCTCTGGTTCCTCTCAATGTGAAATAACAAGGCAGGCTTACAACATCTTAATTTAAATATGTGTAAAAAATCATATTAAAGCTACAATGCCTCAGAAGGCCCTGCTAGGGAGGTCTAAACACTAAAGTGGTAGTGACTGCATATAATCTGGATACTGCATATATCTTAAAACATTGTGTATTTGAGGCTGCTGATAAAAAACATGGGTCACAATGGCAATGACCCTGGTGACCGCTTTATTTAGTGGTTGGAAAACTTGTGGGAAAATGACTCAGCAAGCTTGTAAAACTCAGCAGATTGCATTGAGGCAACTGCACTAAATAGACAATCTCAAAAAAAAAAACACTTGAGCAAGAGAGACAGGATGTGAGATCCAAAACTTTCATATGGCTCCAGGCATTCATGGATGCCCAAGCATGGAGAGAGGCAGCGGTGCCCAGCAGTGCCCCCTATGTGGACTAGCATGAGTTTAGTGGTAAGAAGACACCCCAGGGAGAGGGACGAATCATGGTGTGGTCTTAAGCTGGACAAGAAAATGTATACATGAAGCATCTAATAGCAGCCACAAGTGCTAGGAAGGGTAGAAATATCTTCATTAATATAGGAAGATTGGCTCAATCTCTAATACATCTCATAGCAGAAAGTGCTTCACTCTCAAGATTAATATGTCCAATGTGAGGGGAACTCAGAGGTACGATCTGATTTTAGAGGTACTTTCTTGCTTTTTTATTACTTCAAGGACCTAAGTGTGCTGGCTGAAATTTCTTATATGACAGACTAAAAATAAATATGAAGACCCAAGTTGATTTCCCCCATAACCAAAATTCTAGATAAATGAATAACAATGAGTTTGTAACATTTTAGCAATGCTAGAGACTGGTAAGCAGTTTTCTAAAAGTTCTCTGAATGGCTATATTCAGCTTTACCATTCTTTTTCCAGATACTCTAGAAAGAAAAACATTTTTCCAACAAAAACACAATCAACTTCTTGGTCTTACAGGTTGTAGACAGTATTAGCAGCCAACGTATGGAATCCCAAATGGCCAGCTTTGACAATCTAAAACTAGGATGACAACAAGAGTTCTGTCCTGTTTCTTTTGAAAAATCACTGATTAGCAATTTATCAGCCTTAGTAGATTTTTCATTTTCTCACAGAAGAGGGAAAACTGCAGGCAAAATTATTCAAATTTTGAAATAAACCATTAAAGAAAAGTAAGATGATTACCAATGAGTTGAAATTCAGGGCATTTATTTGATTAAGGAGGCCTGCTCCATTCCATGAACCACAAGCCACTTCAGGGCTGAGAATCCTCAGCTAAGTTTTGGCACTGGCTCAAATCCAGCCAAAGGGGATAAACAATTGGTTTAGCTGAACAAATGAGTTCAACTTTGGAGCACTCTACATTTGCTGCCACCAAATCCTAGGATCTCTCTTTCAGTGTTGTCTGTCTGGTTATAAAACTGAGACAGATTACACTTAAAAATTTTCATTATATGCAGTTAGATTATTGCTTCTGCTTAGTTCTCCTAAGTTAATCTTCACCTTGGCCTCTCCACTGTATTTCGAACATATTGCTCACCTTCACACATGCCATTATCTAGAAGCCTTTATTTCCTTTGTCCTCCTCTTTATTCAACTAATGCCTCAGATTGCCTCCCTTGCCCTCAAATTAGGGACCTGGTGCTCTGCTACCATGGTAATTACTCTGTGACTACACAATGTGTCTCCACCACCAGAGGATGTTCTGTGAAGCACCTACAGTAAGCCAGGCCAAGGGATGTGGGATAAATGATATGCTTGATACTGGCCCTGGCATCAAGAAACTTGTCCTATAACACAGAAGAAGGAAAACAAGTAAATCAAGTATTTCAGAGGCTATGACCACAGTATGCACCAGTGTACAAGGTGGGGAACAGCAAATTCTACCTAGGCAGACAGCAGTGCTGGTGGAGATATTTGCATAAGCCAAGGTAGGGGCTAGAGGCACTGCAAGCAGCTGGTTATTCCCAGAGTAGCAGGTTTTGTAGACTGAGTGGAGAAAGCAAGGCTGAGAGGAAGCAGTGACCAAATGACAGTATCCCTCTGTGTGTCACACTGGAGAGGACAGACTTCAGCTTTAGGGCAAAGAAAAGGCTAGGTCTGCCTTTTGGGTTAAACACACGCCCCTACAAATCTGTGAAAACAGCCCATAAACCTTCCCGCGCTCTCTTGCCAATTTTTCCACAAATGCTCCATGCATTCTTTTCAAGGGAATAAAAAAGAAGTGAGCAGCTTTTCCATGCATTCCAAATGCATTTCTGTGAGCCGTCACAAATCAATCAGTGCAGGTTGAGAATCCAGAGCTCATGGCTGGGCATAGACAGCCACATCTATCTTGTTCTCATTTTTTTTTTCTTTTTCTATTTTAATGGCATATGATAAAAAAGCTTATCTTTTAATTTTTAAAATTGGAATTAAGTTTTAATGATAGTGAATATTGTGACCATGGTGATGATCCTAAATTTCCCTGAAAATTAATTTATTCCCTACAGGTTATTAATAGCAGAGTCTTTTTCAGGCTGTTAAATTCCCACTCAGTTATGGTTTGACTATACTTTGAATTCATCTGCATGGGCTGGGTTGGCTACATGATATAAAGGTCAGTGAGATGGACAGCTGGATACTATCTAGTTTTAATAAAGCAGAGACAGAAAGAGCTAAAGGACCTCATCCCCTTATCTTGAAGAACATTATTTGCTGTAAAAATCATACCTTAATTTTATCATATGTAATGACTTAAAACTGGTCCTCTGCATATGAAGTATCTTAAGGCTTTCTTATCAGAGAGGTAAGTGTCAAGACATAAGGTGAATAAAAGATATACTGGATTAGAGTGAAGAAGATAATATAATGGGGAATTCTTCTCAACTCAAAGCTATTTCTTGTGCACCTACAATTTGACCAAAATAGCTACCGAGGGTATGCAGACAAGAAAGGCTTGATTTCCCCGCTCACAAGGGACCTCAGAGTGGAGAGAAGAGGAGAGAGGGAGACAAAAATAAATTTGAGTAATTGATCATTGGACCAGTTACTGGGGTGTACACTTAGGGCAGAAATGAGGCCAGAATTTTTTTTTTCGGTACCTGGGATCAAACTCAGAACCTTGCACTTGCAAGGGAGGCACCGGAACCACTGAGCTAAATCCCTGTCTCCTAGAATTTGAGAACTACCCCTAAATAATAAACCAGCGTCTTTAGAAAGGTGGCTATTGGCCATGACTTAGATCACTAGTAATGTAAACTAGACCATACCTAGGAAACAGCCTCTGAAGGGAAAGAGAAAAAAAAGGAAAGAAAAAAAATTCTACCTTTGGCTTCTCAAAGTCCTCAAGGCTGCCTTTAACCATCAGAAGCACTTTGTTGAGATTCTTAGAAACAGTATCTTATTGGTGTGGTCAATAAAGTATGTCCTCAACAGTGATGACCTTCTGTCTTAAGGGAAACGATAAAATATTTCAACATCAATACCCAAATACGCAGGACATATCAACATTTTCCTTATTTTTATACTCAAAAACTTAAAAAGTTAGGTTAAAAAGTCATTTTAACAGCCATTATGGGAAAAACATCACTTAGGCTTTTGTGATTCAAAATAGAATATTTTGTTTTATTAAATGTAAAGGGAAATGGAACACTTTAGAGGGTGAGGTCTGCTTAAAGTTAGTTATCCACCAGCTCCCATCATTTTGGTTTTAGATCTATAATTATGCTGATGTGTGACTAGAGTACAGTGAGAAAAAAAAAACAAACAGGTTCAAGACTCAGCTAAGAACATGCATACAGGGATTAGAGGTGTACCTCAGTAGTAAAATGCATGTTCAGCACACACAACGTCTTGAGTTTGATTCCCAGCTCCCCCCGCCCAGGACACAGGTACAAATTCTGACTTTGAAACTTGATAGCAGTGTGACTTTGGGCAAGTTACACAATGCTGTGAATCTCAATGTTCTCTACACATCAACAATCTCAATATCTGTTTGGGGGAGTTTTTGCAATGATTAAGGATATTGGGCGTCTAAAGCACCTGACATATATTAGGTTGTCAATAAATGCAAAGTGAGGGCCAGGAATTAGCTCAGTGGTGCCACCACCTGCCTCACAAGTGCAAGGTCTTGAGTTAGATCCCCATACCGGGAAAAAAAAAAAAAAAGCAAAGTGATTTTATTATTCAATTCTTTGTATTCCTCCAAAATTGTTAGACATAAATTATTATGTCTAATGACTTTTAAGCATTGACAAATTGTTACGAGAACTTTTCTCTCTGCATGGGAGTAATAACCACAACTCCATATTCCTATAACGATACAGACAGAACACCCTGAAAGATTTCTTCTCACACTTCTGGGGTAGCATGATTATCATCTTCTTGATTGGAGCAAGTATCAAGGGTGGAGCAATTGGAGCACTAACACCAAACTGATAGCCAGCAACAGATACCAACAGAAGTAGCAGAGAAAGACCCCAAAATGCAAAGTAGAAAGTACAATACTCCAAAAAAGTATCCAACATCCCCAGCAAAACAAAACGAAACAAAACAAACAAAACACATTCATGAGGTAAAGCCTCCATTTTTGAGCCCTTATTCCATGTTAGACACTAGACATGCACTTCACATGCATCAACTCACTTCATCTTCACAATATGACTTTGATGTAGGTATTATTATTCTTCCCATTTTATAAATGTGGACACAGGCTCAGAAGGCACATAATTTACAGTAGGTCCCCAGCTGGTAAATGAAAGAAGTGGACTTTGAACTCAGGTTTGCCCGACTCCAGGTCTTCCACTCTTAAACACTGTGCCATTACCAAACACATCAATGGAAAACAGAAGTCATTACCTTACATAAGCCAACTCTATTCCCCAAGCAGCAGGTTTAGTCTCCCAAAGTTCCACTTTTGTTTGTTCTCTAAATTGTGAGTCCCAACTCAGACATACTCCAGAACTTCTGTTCTGATCATTGGTGGCTCCCTCCAATCTTCATTTTTAAGCATCCTCTGCCTACTTCTAAATGTTGCCATGGCCAAGGACTCCGTTCTTGGACCTCTTTTCCTCTATTCAGAGACACACTGTAGGTGAGCCCTGTCCTTCAATCTCACAGCTGACAAAGAGAAAAGAAAAATCATCACTATGCTGAGAACTCATAATTGAACTGTTGGTATCTTCATCCCTGACCCATCATCCAGATAAAACAAGACCTCTCTCTTTCCCCTTTGGCAAACTGAGCCCCAAACCCAGGAGTCATCCTTGATTCTTCCCACGTGACATATCCAGCCCATCAGTTAATCCGTTGGCCCTGTCTCCAAAAATATATCCCAATTTTGGCCACTTCTCAGCATTTCACCATCTTAGTCCAGATCCCCAGTGTCTACCATCTGTACATGACAACAGCCTCCCAAGTGGTCTTCCCAACTTTGCTCTTGCTCCCACTTGGTTCATTCAGCAGAGAGCAACAGAGGATTTGGGAAAAGAAACAATAAAACCAAGTCACTCTTCCCTGCACCCTCCAGTGGTTTTCCATTATAATTATAATGGAATTCAAACTTTTTTCTGTGGGCCCCCAATACCCCACCTGGTTTGGCTCCTGCTTAGCTCTCTAAAACTCAGTGTGTACATACTGTCCTCCTGATTGTTCCTTAATAAACCAAGCATTTTTTCACACTAGGCAGGTTCCTTTCTCAGGCCGTTGTACTTACAGTTACCTCTTCCTGTGAGACTCTTTCATTAAATGCTTTGCTTTCTCACTTTATTCAAGCAGCGTCTTAAATGTAACCTTCTCAGAGAGACTGTGTCCCTGATCACCTGATCTAATACAGCTCCTTGCCTACTCTCAACATTCTAATCCAAAGCATTTAACATTCCCTGAAATTATCAATTATCTTTTTAATTTATTTAGGCCAGGGATTTAGCTCAGTCGCACTGCACCTGCCTCACAAGTGCAGGGTTGTAAGTTTGATGCCCTGTACCAAAAAAACCCCAAAACAACAAAAAAGCCCCTCAAATATATTTAGTCTATATTTTATGCCATAAAATTAAAAATCACCACTGTATTCACAAGTCATGAATGCAAAGCAGGTACTCGATAAATATTTGTGAATTATCCCTTTTTCAATTAAAATGCAAGGTCCAGAACAGCAGGGACTTTGTCTTGTCCTTGCTGTATCTGCATGCCTCAAATAGTACCTGGTTTATACTAGACATCCCAATGTTTGAAGGATGAGAACGTAAAATGATTCTAGCATTTCTACAAAGACCATGCCAATTCCCATCTTACAGGCAAAAGAATGACAAGGACATTTGAACTGTTTGAGTAGTTCAAAGCCCATCATTATCCACAACCAGGTCATAATCCTAAGATTCCACATTAGATTCTCCCCATCCATATGTTCTGGAGCTCTGCGAGAGCTCCCTTGGTCTTCTGAAGGGGGAGAAGACCACCCGAGGCAACCAGAGGCCAGGGTCTGAGCACAAGAAGAATGCTTCCTTTTCCTCTGATCTCCAGATTGCCTTCGGAACTTGCAAAGCTTGAGCCAAACAAGCTCACTTTCACGAGGCCACTGTATCACTAATGAATTTCTATAAACACTACCATGCTAAAGCTGCAGGGAAATGAGTCCAAAGGAAAAACAGGTTCTCTGTGCATCCCAGCTCTGTCCCAAGGAGCCACAGAGACAATGCAAATACTTGTTCTGAGGCTTGAAATGGCATTTATGTTTTAAAACACATTTAATTGAGTCTGACAGTTGAGGAGGGTCTGTATGGGGCTGAAAATACCAGGCCGGCTGGTAGATGCTGCAGGTGTTTTCAGTTAAATGTGATAATCAAATTAGCTGCACAGCACTTAGCTCTAAAATGGCAAGTGGCGCT